TATACTGTGGCTACACGCCGATTTGTTTTTCGCTCTCGGAAGGACAGTGGCAATTTTCCACATATTAGGGAAACAAGACTTTGTAAAACTGTGGTTTATTATGTGAGTTAGGGTTGGCAAGATTAGCGATAAAATAATCTTTATAAAACGTAAGCCTTATTATGCTTTTCTCAGCTTTCATTTTGATTTTGACTCTTTATTGCCGCCAAGCAATGTTAGGTTTGTTCCGCAAGCTACTCGAAGTCACTTCGAGTTGCACATACATACGCGTTCCACAAGTAAGTTTTAGAGTTTCTTTGATATACGCTCACAGTTTGAACTTTGCTCGAGTTTTTCTACAAGTAGAGTGTGGAACAAACCTGTTATTTTCATTGTCATTTATTAATCTATGCATTAGTACAGTAAGATTAAGAAATCTTTTGTAGTGCAACAGTAATTTATATATGTATGAGGCAATAAAGGTTATAATGAAAATATTTAATTTGGACTAACGTAAGATAAACAAAACTGGCACAGGTATTAGATTGTATAAATTTAGAATAAAATAAAACTTTGTATATTACTATGGCTAAATATAACTACATGTATATATAGAGAGAGCACATCTCAATGTAACAGGTATTTAACTTAAGACAAACTAGCGAAAATATGAATACAAAGGACTCTTAAAGTTGCTTTTATTCAAAGAACTACGGATAGAGGCTGGAATAGCGTTCCATATACGAATGACGGTGACAAAAAATAGCCTTGCAGAGCTGAGATAGTTATAGCTAGGGACAATTAGGTCACTTATACGTGTTGATTTTGGAAATATTAATTTTTCAAAAAGGTTGCCGGGAGTCTTATCCATCAGAGATTTCACAGCCCAGCAGGCCTGCCCTCTAGGCAGAGATATGCTCAAATTTGGTTATCCCAAATACATAGCGCGTAATATGGTTGAAAGCTACCTCAAATTTATGCGCTGATTAAGAGTCTAGCTTGCTATAAACTAGCTCAGGATAGCATATTATCGGAAGTATAAGCTGTATTGCAAGTTTCCGCCTGATATCAATTGATGTAAAAGAGGCAGACATTCTTAAGTTTCTCAAAGCATAATACACCTTTTCGACAATGGAGTTTATATGATCAACACACGTAAGACTAGTATTAATAACATAACCGAGATTAGTTACCTTGGATACAAATTTAATAGATTTACCCCAATGTGTAGCGATGGAATATCTATGAGGTTCAGAAGCTTCTTACTCTTATCACAATTAAGACAAAGACCATTTTGGGATGCCCAGGACTTGATAGATAATAAATCCTTGCTTAAATCTGAAGACAAATTAGCTGACTGCTCTAGAGGCCTGGACATGGGCGTAGCCAGGTAGGGGGGGGAGGTGGCCGGCCCTCTCCCCCTAACTTTCAAATTTTTGCCTAGATATTCAAAAATAGTACCACGAAATGCTTGCTTGATAATTTCGGACCCCCCCCCCCCTAAATTTCAAGGTCTCTCCTATGTATATACTGTATAACAAATTATATTCCAAACGCTAACTAAATAATTAGTAAATTGATTTGAAAAGTAGATATGTGGATCATCCGGTTCTGTATCAAATTATTATCTCTAACTTCAAAGCACTTCCATTTTAAAAGGGTAAAAACCTGGCTGCAGTCGACAATGAGCAAAAATTTATTGAAGGGAAACTATAAATAAATTTATAGTTCAATTGTCTACTACTTTGTCTTTAAGTTTGTGTGTTTTCTAAGCGTACAACGAAAGTTTTGTGTCACAGAACCAATCTGAGATTATTGATAAAACTATAGACCGGTTGTGTGAACAGCCAAGACGTTTACTTCTTTAGTGTGACAAAACAAAATCAAGTAATATATTTAGCATAAATAAATATACCAGCCTAAAAAATCTGCGTACTCAAAATGTTCAATACGCCCTCATATTTATACATACATACATATGTATTTATATCATTTAACGTTTTGTCCGGCTATTTGGTTTATTATACAGGTATGTAGAGCGAATTTAAAAAAATTCATCAGGGTTTAGTTGAGATATTCGTTTTTGGCCACTATGTTTTGTACATTTCCCAGTACTGCAAAGCTTTTGACTGTCATTCACCTGGGAGTGGCCAAAAGTGATTCGTGTGCTTACGGTTCAAATCGCAGCTAACTACGTCCGGATATTTATATCCATGAATACTCTGGATAGCGACCGAACGCTAGTTCGGGGGCGAGGTAAAGTAGGAGGGCGTAACAGCCCGCGTGCGCTGGGGATTAATCGGGATGGTGCCTCTGCCCGGCTGGTTGAAGTCCTAGGGAAAATAAAGGCTGACATCAGCTCCATCCACGAAATGCGATGGACGGGGCGAGGAAGGTAAGCGTG